TTTCCCATTCCCAGACACCAAGAGATTTTCCATCATTTTTCTATTACTCTTTCTACAGCCCCAGCATACCTTCACCTGTGCTGTACAGAAAATGTAAAATACCTAATTGAACTTCTAGAGATAAAAATCACAGTCTGAGAAGTTAAAAGTTAAAAGTTATATCTATATGAATGTAAGATTGAAGAGTCTAGACCAAGGTGCCCCCTCCATTCTAAAACTCTTTAGTATACAAAAGTTGAGTGGTTTCTTGGCCTCCTGATTGGCCATGATGAAAAAGGCAAGAGAACAAGAAGTTTCAGTAATGTTTCAGGACTGACAGAACACTTGCTTCTTCCTTGTTAAGTCATACAGTCTTCAGATAGGAGGAAATAAAGGGATGCACAATTTCTTTCATTAAAAAAGGCAAAATTTGGAATGATTACAAAAAAAGAAATCTCTAAGACTAGATATTTTAATGCAGAATTATTAAGTTGAAGGGCAAGGAAATGTCCGTGGCAGGTAGTGAAGGGTGAAATTCTGTTCTATTTAGTAAAGGCAGGATGCATGGGCATGGAAGACAGTCTGGGCAATACTGTTCATAAAACAAAGCCTAAGACCTGGAAAATCAATTTTAGAATGGGAGTTAAAGTATGATTGGGTCCATAATTTCCTAGGGTAGGTGGGAGTTAGAAGAGGGAATATCTTCCTCATTTGGGGCTGTGTTCTTTTTCAGATACATATTTCACCTGCTCTTTCTACATGGTGCCCAGGAGACTCCAGGGGAGGGGTTCAGTCTTCATCTGACCCAGAACTGGAAGTGGCCACATCCAGCATAGCCCCACAAACCCAACAAGCAGGATCACAGCTGCCACACTTGTTTATCTTTCTTTCCTGTTCTGGTAGCTCCTTTGGGGGAGCATCACAGCCTTTGAACTGAAGACAGATTCTCTTTAAAAATCACATGGCAAAATGTTGGAGGAAAAGAAAAGATTCTGAGAAATTAAAAATTCATGACAGAAGGCAGTTAATTGGCTTCACACTAACCTTATGATCTCATTCTTTAAGAGTTCTCCCTCCTTTAGAGCAATCACTTCTGTGCTGCCAACATAAATGAGATGTGGTTTCTTCTAAATCATTACTGTGATTTCCATCAAAAGACAGAAAAGACAGTAATTAGTACTCTTCACCAAATCAGGCTCACATTCAATATAAACTACATTTGTCCTTTGCAAAGATGAAAATGAAGCACTTTCAATTCTTGGGATTTTGTCATAAGTTGTCACTAGAGTTGCTTCTAGACCTTTTATCATTAATGTTCTTTTAATGAAAACAGAGTGAAGACTTTAAAACATTAGTAAGGCAGTGTCACCTCACCTTCACACTGGAATCATCAGATGATACATTAAAGACGAGGGAAAGGGGAAAGTTAGGAATCCCACCTCAGTTTCTTGGCATCATTAGGGTTTAGGTATTCATCCAAAAAAGGTCTTTGCAATTTACCAGGGGACTAAGACCATCAATGAGGGCAAAGTTTTTAGAGTAACTGGACACTAGAGACACTTTTGTGAATAGTTTCTGAATAGCCACAGAAGCAGTGGTATCAGGCACACACGTATGCTAAACCAAGACAAGCAGAAAAGCTTGGTCAGAAAGCCATGCAATTGTCCAGAATGTGGCCACGAATTGTGGGTAAAACTCTATTCAGTTTTGTAGTCGTTAGGCTTCCAGAAAATGACACAGAAGGACAAACTCAGACTCCTCAATTTGAGGCAACAGAGCTGAGTTCCGGGAGACCAAGGTGGCTACAACTCATAGGACAGAGTCAGAGAAAATGGAGCTGCAGAGTTGAATCTGCAGAGATGCCCCTGGAAAACACAGCAGAGCTTACTGTTAAATCCTGGTAGGGCAGGCTCATGTCACTTTACAGCAGCAATGTGCAATAGGTGACAGTATGAAAATTTGCTGTTTTGCTTTAAAGGAAAAGCACTGTGGGGTTAGACTTGTAATGCCTAATTAAATAGCCACTAGACACATATTTAAATTAACTAAGAGTCAATAAAGTTTAGTAATGAACATCCTCAGTTTCATTAGCTACATTTTAAGAGCTTAGTAGACATATGAGCCAGAAACTACCATATCAGACAGCAAAGATACAGAATATCTTCATCACTGCAACAAGGTCAATGAAAAACCAAGAGAAAAAAAGTAGTTTGTATACACCTAATAAATGAATCATAATTATTAAAGCAAATTTCCAAATTTCTCTCCTATAAAGAGTTTTTTGTATGTGTATGTGCCCATTTGGTCTCAAATTTTATTTACAAGCTTTGGAGGTTTAATAATCTTGAATTTCAAGAATATCTTATAACATTTTAAGCCCTATGTTGTAGGAAAATGTGCATAGAGAAGAAGCTTCCTAACTTCCTGAGGGAGAGGTCCAATCTGTCAAAAGAAAGTGTCTCCACGTTTTTCTAGATAGCTGGTTTCAGCAATAAGCTCCCTTGCCTTTCTTCCCAACTGCATGCTTGATTGGACAGCTTCTCAAGCCACTTGTCTAGATGCTGCCATCCTTACAGCTCATAAGAATGACATTTTTCTACTGAATATGTTGATGTGTAGATTTTTGTGTAGATGAATATAATAACCATAAGTCAAATGAGCTCAATTTTGCTTACTTCTCACAAATAAATTGGAAGCAGAAGAGTCTTTTCCATCATTATTAAAATCAGGCATTTTCTCCAAGGTCATACAGAGTGGCCTATCTCACTGCCCAAGTAGTTTCAATCACAAAAGCAATTTGTCACCATGCAGCTCTCTCCAGGAGACTGCAACTATAGAAAGAAAACTCCTCATTGGGGACTCTGGGGCTTTAAGGCAGATATGGATCAAGTTGTTGGCATTTACTTATAGAAAATAAGCTCATGCCTCATTCCATTTCCCCTCTGAGGATTACGCATCATCTAACAGAAAGCTTTGCGGGGTAGCTGAAGAGATCCTTTATGGGATGCTACAAGGGATTCCTGGTAGAGTCAAGCATTGAGCAGAATTCCTTGGCTATTAATTCCCGGGTCTCCTCAGACCTCAGTGAAAGTAGACTCAGATTATGCCAGGATGGATGATGCTTTAAGGTGAACATTATTGACTTTACAGGAAACTTTGGAAAGGGTTCAGAGGGAATCAGACCTCTGGAGTGAGCAGAAGATGCAATGGGACAGATGCGTCACAATGTTAAACACTCTGGTACCTTTGGCAGGAACAATGCGGAGGGCACTGAAGAGATGAACAAGAACCATTCTCTTCTTCTTTTACTCCAGCTTCCAAATCAACATGAGATATATCTGTTCTGAAGGAAAATCTTACTTTACCCTCAGATTTTTTTCTCAGAAATCGATTACCTTTTTAAAAAGATGGCTATTAAATGTGACTTGTAAAAGTAGCAGCATATTCTCTGAAAATACACTTGGAAAGAGGCCAATAATTAGTTTTTAGAGGTGTTGTTTTCCAGGACTAATAAATAACAAATATCTTTCATTTTAACTGTTAATGTTTTCACAAATATTTATACTATATCATTGCCTGCACTGAGATTCTTGAGAAGAACCACACAAAGTATTGAAGAGGATTACAGGCCATCAAGATGTAGCAAAACCAGACTCAAAATCTTTGAACTTGATTGAAATGATAGTTACCAATATAAAGACCAAATTTCAATGAAGTAAAAAAAAAACCCAAAATTCTTAACTGAGAAATTGTTGGTGTAATATTAATAGCCTATAATTAATAACTTTTTCTAAAATAAACCTGTAGGTTTTCATCACATTTCAATATATACAGGGCTTAGTTCAGCTAACCAATACAGAAGTGCTTCATAGTTTTCCTGAGTTAGGGTACTTTGCTTTTCCTAGTTATGAAAGACTGACTCCTAAAAATAAAATATGGGGATGGGCGGGGTGGTGCACACCTTTAATCCCAGTGCTTGGGAGGCAGAGGCAGGAGGACCTCTGTGAGTTCAAGGCCAGCCTGGCCTACAAAGCAAGTTCCAGGCCAGCTGGGGCTACAGAGAGACCATTCTCAAAAAAAAAACCAAAAAATAAAAATAAAAATAAAATATGGATATGCCATAGTGAGGAGCTGAGGCTTTTCTGGTAAGTAATATTCCAGCAGATTAACATTGGCAGGGTTTATTGAAACATTGACAAGCACTACTGAAAAGCAGAGACCTGGAGTTAAGAGATTCAAGTCCGGACAGGAGCTTGGTCTGCTCATTTCCACTGGATACACTTGCATATTCATATATAGAGACATTCTTGGCCTTAAAAAGACCCTGCATTCAAGACATAAGTCAAATGGGATGTGGCATTTCAATGCCATTTCTGGAAAAATAGGTGTCTTACATGGAAATCATAGAATCTAAATACATGCATTTTTTTCTTACTGATATTTTACTCCTTAAAAATAAAGAAACAACATTGTCATAGAAATACATATCAGAAGTCTTGGGTTCCAATTCCTGTTCTAACATAGCATCATTACAGACAAGTTGTTTGACTTGAATGGACTTCCATTTCCTTATATGATAAATTGGATTTGATTGTGGTCACCTCTAAACGGCCCACAGGAGCCAGAAGTAGCCAGGCCTTAAGATGATAAAGGCATCAGACGCTGGGGCTCCTGTTGAGGAGCTGAAGACTCTGATAAAAATGGACAGTCCTTCCACTTACTGGGCAGTCAGCATCTAGCCCCAGCCGATTGTCTCTAGGTGGGTAATGCCACCCCTGTGTTGCCATATTGTCATTTGTCAAGGGAATATGGAAGTTAATATTTTGGGTCAAATATTATTTTTTAAATGCTGGCCACTGGAAGGAAAAACTAAAACGTGTGTGTGGGTGGGTGGGACAGAGCATGTGGCCACCATGTTGTGACCTCTGGTGAGATGCTCCTCACAGTCTGTGGTTTTCCCTGCTACTAAGGAATGTAGGAGGAGGGTGATCCTGGGACCACAGAGCATTGAAGGCACAGCTCTATTTAATCTTCTTCTCACTGGGTTTCATTAAAATATGTATACAGTAGGGAATGAGAGCCACCACAGTCAATGGGATCGATGCACTTTTACAGAAAGACAACACATAAAATAAATGCTCTGTGTGAGTTGGGATCTTAATGAAGTGGTAAAGCTGCAATGCGGTCAACGAGGTCATGGCACAGAGCAACTGGAAGCTCAGCTTGTAGCAGTTTTCTCCTCCGCAGCTCATAAGAAACATTTCTGAGTTGATTGCAAAACCCAAGCCAAAGAGGACCCCGAGGTTTCTCACAAGCCCAGCAAAAGGTGTGGTGTCAATGTGGATCCAGTCAGGGTTGGCACATCATTTTTTGGCTATGGGCATAGACCACAGTAGGTCAATGTCAAGCAGTCTGAAAAGCAGGTAAAAGCCAAGTGCAAACAGGAAGAGGAAGAGGTTGATCTTCAGGTACAGACTCAGGCTGGCAGTGTGGATTCCTGGAGCGTGTTCAAAGGCCTCTGCCACCAGCATCCCTAGGGATTGGAAAGAGATACTGACCGTGACTGTGTGTCCCAGGGCCCCTCAGGAATCATTCCGACTTGCAATGGGAAGGACTTTAGGCACCCAGATTCTAGTAATTCCCCAAAGCCTTTTTAGGCATTCACTGAAAGTGGGTTTGCCTCATTGTCTTTGAACTACTTATATTGGACAAGAAGGATCAGTCAGGAGTCGGTAGCACTGGGTGACAACCCATTTTGCAGGCACAACCTTTTTTGGGAAACAAAGCAGTCACTAAGTGAAATCTAGTCATGCAGTAATCACTTCAGATAATTCTGACAGAATGTCTTGGCTGCAGATTGCAGGGTCTTTATGAAGTCCCTGCCCCCCAAACAAGACACAAGCACAGTGTCTGAAATGATGGGTTGATATACCAACTTAGTCACACTTTGGAAAAGCCCATCACACCATGCAGTTATCATTTACACCATTAAGTGAAATGTGTCAGCACGTAACAGAGGCTTTTGCGAGATATATTGAACCACTTAAGCTCCCAGATAGCATTTAGTATTAATGAGCTCACAGAGCTACTTCTGAAATTAGAAAACTGGTTATCAGAGACACTCTGACACCACAGGACAAATGAAGCAAAGTTTTGGAATAGCACAACTAAAGATAAGAGATCATAGTTACCACCAATCACTCCAAGAATGACTTGATGAGGAAAATGTGTCGCTATGAATACCCTGGAGATGCACACACTGATTTGAATCAGCCAAAAAAGACTCCAAAGAAAGGACCAGGTCAGTCTGTAATAGGAGAACAGATACAGTGTAAAAGAGCAAAGAAACCATCTCACTAATAAAAGGAGGCAGGTGACACCAGATGCTCCTTCTTAGAGGACACTCCCAGGTATGATATAATATGATTCTAGAGTCTTTTGTTTTCAAAATGTTTTCAGATGCTCCATAGGATTCAAAACTTTAACAGACCATTTTGAATTTCTTGGTGCAACCTCCTGAGATTTTATTTTTAATGCTGAAAATGAAGGCATTTTGATATCCTTGAAATAAGGAAAATCATTTTAATGGAGAAAGAAGCAAGGAAAATTCAAGTTTGGAAGAATTACAAATAACCAGAATAATTAAGATTAAATCATATAGATTTTTATTCCCTGCCATTTGTGTTTCCTTTTTGTCCTCCACACTCAGCCTTTCTTTGAAGAAATACTGGAGAGGCAGCTGCCAGTTCGGTGAAAAGCTCATGAGCATTCCACACACAAGTCCTCACTGGATGTAATTTCACAGACTCTCAGGGTCCCTGAGTCATCATTTTGTGAGATACAGAAAATAAAGAACAAAAGGCTATGTTGTATACATTCAACTAGAAGCAGAAATGCATACAAAATGTAAAAATATTAAAATCCCAGCAATTTTTGAAACAGTCATATTGAACTCCAGGAATCCTTTAATGGTTTATTGTTGACAACCAGACCAAGGTTTAGTTATAGAGAGACCAAAGGTTAAAGAGAAATGAGACTAACAAAGAAGTAAGCAGGAATTTTTTCAAATGAAAGAAGAATTAACAAGGGTTTGGTGATATCAAGGTAAAGCATAGGCACTCACTAAATTTCTTAAATGAGGAAATAGTGTTACAAATATCAAAGGAGCACAGGAACGTTTTAGAAAAAAACGTGGAATTTTCTATTTTAGAAGAAATTTTATTTGGTATGGTTATTATATACATATGTATATGTTTATATAAGACAGGGTCTTCCTATAGTACCAGTTGGCCTGGAACTCTCCATGTAAACCAGATGGCCTGAATCTCATAGGGATCCACCTGCCTCTGCCTCTGCCTCCTGAGTGCACGCCTTTGATCCCAGCACTCAGGAGGCAGAGGCAGAGGCAGGCGATCTCTGTGAGTTCGAGGCCAGCCTGGTCTCCGTGGTGAATCCAGGACAGCTGGGGCTACAGGGAGACCCTGTCTCAAAAGGACCAAAAAGAAAGCATGCACCACCATACCTAGATTTACATGCCATATTTTTTCAAAAGGTTGACACATCTTCTTTCTATAACTAAATTTTTGTCTTCTTGTCAGCAACATCATTTGAAGATTCCTGGCACTCAATATAGCTATTTTTATAAATTACTTGGATTTAGATATTTTTATTTTTGTGTGTTTCTGCTATATAATTTATGACTAAAGTGGTGTTCAGGATTGCTTTAATGCCAGTTAAAGGATTTCAGAAAAGAGAAGAGAGCAGCTCAATTCCCAGAAATAGTGAGTTATCATGAAGTTCTATGTCCTCCTAAACATTAAAATATCTGTTAGCATTAAGTCTACTAACATTCAAATTTAAGTTTGCCTCTAGAATAATTTTAAAAAACTACATAGACTTTAACAGCTAGAATATATGCTAGTGATCTTAAAAGCATTGGGTATTCAAAACAGGAAGCATAATTTTACTAAATAAATTAAGAATAATAATGACTCATGACTTCCAGCTAATCTTAAGGCAAGAGAATGTACGTGCAAAAATATTTCATTATGTAATTTTAGATGACTTATTTATGAGCTACCAAAATAATAACTGGATTTTGGAAACCCAAAGGCATATTTAGCAAGTCATTAATCAGATAAACATTTCCAACTCAATTATAAAAGTGGCAATAGCTGTTAGGTGATTAGGACATTATCTTAAAGAAAAATATTCATTTTCCATTCATTCTGCTACACTGGCTGTGAAAAAAAAGAGAATAAGCACATTTCAATGAACAACAAAAATACACTTAGATAAATTTTTAGAAATGACTTCACAGATTCAAAACTATCCTACAGAAAGTGGAGTCATGCTGACCTGTGCAGAGTGATAGAGAACTTATCCATACGATTGACAGTGTGGCTCAGGGCAGCTGTTACCATGACATACCAGAGACAGGACAAGCCCATTGCATGACCAGATGGACTTCCTGTAACAAGCATCATTTGTTCAAAAAGTAGTTAGCTAAGTATCAGGATCAGAAGTGGGACACTAGGGTCATATATTTGCCATGAAAATAACAAATAACTCAGGAAAAAGCCTCCCAGGGCATAGGCTATATACATTGCTTAGAAGCAGATAAAATAAGGATATTGAGTCTAATTGAGTCTCAAATATACAATTTCAAAAACACTTTTTCAAAGAAAGAAACAAACAATAAAAACAAAAACCTGTTAGAAATATCAAATTTTTCCTTTTGTCCCCCAAAGCAGAATTTTATGCTATGTAACAAACTATGGTGTGGTATAATACATTCATAGAAGTTAAGGTAATGTGTAATTGTCTTTACATATATTAAAAACTTGACCATTCTTCATGAGGATAATAATGGTTAGAGTTAAAATTATTGTGCTAAATAAAGGGAATGTGGCTTCTCAGAACAATTCTACTTGGCTTTGACAGCACAGCATCATGAGAAGTCCACCTCCTGATTATCATGAACCTATAGCACATAATCAATCATAACTTTATCTATTTCTGCCAAGTTCTCTAATAAAATGCTTTGTATATTAAAAGAAACTTTCCTCCATATTTTCAAGCTGATTGAATTCTAGAAATCAATATATTCAATTTTAGTTAAGACTTTGGACAATGGCATCCAGATCTAACACAATCTTATTCATTTTTCAATTGTAATTGTTTTCCATTGACAAGAAAAGTAAAATACTTGTACTGGATCTTGAATTAATTCATTTTCCTTAATCTGAAAATTCTAATTCCAAAGGCTGTCATTGCTATGCTGGTGGTTTACTGGCTGACTTACAAACAACTGCATTGTGCAACCAGCTACCTGTATGCTTATGTTGTGTCACTGCAATGAAAATCTTTGCTAAGAAATACAGAATCCAATTCATAAGGCTGTAAAGGGGCAGAAAATGCTCGTGGTCATGTGGCCTTTCTGCTACCAGAATGCCTTTTCCGTGCTATTGTTTTTCTTTGTGATCACTTTACTTTGGTGCTGTGCTTCATTTTTCACCTAGCAGATACTCACTTAGATTGAATACCAGGCTATCATTTAAAACAAAATATAGTCACTTGTTTGTTAAACATCTATTTTTCTCTGTAGGAATGGTCTCTCCTTTTCTCTCCCTCTTTTCTCCCTCTCTCTATCTTCCCTCTGTCTTTCACCCCATACCCCATGGCAATATTTTTAAAGATGGAATAAATGCTAGGAAGTACTAGGATAGACCAAATAGCATTTCATTGTCTCTTAGGTTGTCTATTGATCCAGTCACTTAGTCATCACATATTGGGTTCACAAAGAAGAAACACACTTAATCCCTGCTTGATGGGACACACTATCTAGGAAGCCAGACATAAAGAATTAATTATGGTATTTTAAATGATATGACAGATATACATATACTTTCATGGGAGCAAAAAATAAGATATTCAGCAAACTCATTAGAAGTTCGTGCATTTAGGCTTTGTTTCAAAGGACTGTCCAGCAAGAATTTTATGCTATGTAACAAACTATGATGTGATACAATATAATAAATTCATAGGAGTTAAGGTAATGTGTAATGTAGGAAACCAGGATGCCAGGCCCTAGGGTAAGGTGAGCCTAAAACTTTTAAGTCCAGGCTGCATTCTCTGCTAAAGGGAGGAGCACTGAAAACAGTGGTTCTGATAATCCCTGTCTTGCAGAACACTGTTAGACTGGCAGGAGGAAGCAGCCTGGTCATAAAAGTGCAGGCTCCTTGCTCTGTGGGAAAGCGTCTTGGTCAACAACCCTTAGCTCATCTCCTTGTCCTGAACAAATAACTCAGCTATCCCTAGCTAAGAGATTAGGCCAGGTTAAAGGTTTACTCCTGAGCTAAAAGCTAAAAGTTAACCATGCTTTTATCTATAAGAAAGAAAACACTGTGGCCAATAAATTAGTGGATGGGCATTGATAACCTTGAGTAAAAGTTTAAGAATCCTTCTGGCACCAACTAACAGACTAAATGTCCTGTTTCTTTGTACCCTAAATCTTTGTATGTGACTGCCATATCCCATGTGACTGCTAGTTCCTTGGGATGTATAAAAACCATCTGAATTTTAAAATAAATTGGCTTGTTGGAAAGACACAGATCCCAGGGTCTAAGACTCTGTCGCCAATCAAGTCCTCTGCCCCGAAGCCAGTATGTCCCCCACTAAGCAAAGCAAACCTGAGTCCCGACAGTGTACTTTTCTTTACATATATTAAAAATATTTTTTACCCTCTTAAAGTCAACTTCCATAGTAAAGATGTTACTCTTAACAAAGCCAATCTTATAATTGGAAAGCAGCCTAAGAAACCTATTTATATGCTATACATACTAACGGGATAAAAATGTAAGATTAGAGGTAACCTTTACTCATAGTGGGAAATCCTTACCTTTCTTACAGAACATCTATGCTTCCTCATTCATGAGCCTCTCAGAAGATCTATAACCAGGAAGTCACTCAGCAGCAGATAAATCAGCATTTCTAGAATCTTAATGTAGTTCTTTGGGAATTTTTTTCTAACTAACTGTCTTTCACTGGTTTTCATATCAAGCCATTAAATTCTTCCAGAAAGTAAATGCCCAAATATAAATGATTTTGGGAGCATTATCCCAACCTATTATTCCACAGACAATAAAATAGAATGTGATTATTCATAAAACTTCCTTTCTCATTAACATTTTTTACTATAAATTTTAAGTATCCTCACCCTTTACATTTTTTTAATACTCTATGTATCATACTGTTATTAGATGGTAACCATGCATAAACACTCTCTGAATAGTTTCAGTAACTACAGACTACTTTAATTGCTTACCTGGGCCCATTTCACATGTGGTGGGGAACTGTTCAAGACATGCGCTTGAGTTATTTGGGTAAGTCTGAGTTTCTTGGATCCACCAGTAAGGACGATGACCAAATAATATCCTTTATTTTAAGACATAAATTTCATATATATTTAAATATAAAACTATTGACTAATTGGAGATGAGCTATTCTCTCTTACAAAAATTATTCAAGGAAAGAGTCAAGGGGGAAAGCTCATAATTAAAACACACTGAAGGAACTTGGGTTCTAGTCTCTCATCATGAGAGAGGACGGTAGTATTGGGGGTTTTGGTATCCTTGTTTCTCATAAACAGGGATTTTTTTTCCTTTCAAGGGAAGTCCTATGGGTACTTTGGGTACTTAGACAGGGAATACCAAAATGGTCCTTAGAATCATCAATCTACTTATTACTGTACTGCTAACTTCTTGGTTAATCATAGAAAATGTGTAATAGGGTTTTACAATCACTTAAAATTCAAAGTATCTGTTTCTAGACTTTTTGTAAGTTCTACATATGAATCTCACCAGAATGGAAGATTTTTCCAAGTCAAACTACATACATCTGAAACTTGATCACTAAGCTGATCACAAATTTAAGAATACATTTTAGGAAACATGGAACAAAGTAGAAGTCTTACCACTTAAATATAAGATTGAACCAATCCCCAGTGACTGCTATCCATATCATCCTGGTTCCAACGGTCTGATTAATTTGAAACCAAAGTGGAAAATAGATAGAAAAGATATTCCGTGGGTCTCCAACACTGGACATAAAATTTAGAAAATTGTAGTAAGCGCGGTAGTCTTTCTGCAAATGTTGAATAATAAGCTCTCCGTTCCTATGTAGGAAATCCATCCTGGAAAAGATGCAGTTCTAAACATGAAGCAATTGGCAGGGTAGCACTCTGAGTCCCACCATTTTTATATAGTACCTAATGGTTTGCTGAGCCATTACTGTGACATGTGATGCTGACCATCTGTGAAGAAAGCACATTGGTCCTCCTCCATTGAAAAGCTCATTTGTTTATGATTTTAATTGGTGGAAAAGATGTGAAGTACATGCTGATCTGGGGAAATTTGAGTAGAAGCACAATGCATTTCTTATGCAACCTCCTTTTGTGTGAACAGTTGGCTCATGTTTGCTTGAAATTTTTTGCACATCTCATTTCCTTCAGGAGCAGACATTAGCAATTTCTACGCTTTGCTAGCAGACTACACAAATAATTATTGCATGTCAAATAGGCCTTAAAACCATACATTTTAATTTAGGAGAGACTGTTGCTCTAGACTATTTTATTAGGTCTTTTAGGAAAACAGTAAATACCTAGGCATGAAAATTTTATATGATATATACATATTTTCTCATCATAGATTTTTATATACAAATATTTGGATATATCTTCATTAACAAAAATAGAATGGAACAAGGAAGGCAATACATGGACTACATGAAATTTGGGTAGAAATGCGTTGTTTTTGTTTTTGCCTGTGAAGCAGAAAAGCAGAAATAGAAATTGCTTGGATAACAGAAATGTGTTAGGTCTAAACTGTTATTATTATTGTTGTTGTTATTATTATTACGTGTGTGTGTGCGTGCACATGCATGCGTGTGTGCACATGTACCAAGGTGTGTGTGCTGAAGCCAGAGGACAGCTTTTGGGAGTTGGTTCTTTTCTTTTACCAAGGGTTCCAAGAAGCCAACTTAGGTCAACTTAAGCAAGCACTTTTACCCTCCAAGCCATCTCACTGGCCCTGTTTTATGTTTAACTGACTAGATAATACAGTTGAAAAGATTGGAGAGTTGCACTTGTGACAAAGATAGAACTAGACTACCAGGGCTTCCCATCAATCAGGAAAATAGTTTGTTGAAATTGTTCAATATAAGTGGGCAGCACAAAAACCAGCCATAAATTGGGGTGAACAGGGTACACACAAAGACCTCAGAAGTCCAGTCAGAGTGAAATACTAGTATTTTCTGGGAGGGCTGGTGAGGAGTCCATTAAGCTCTATCACATTGAGGCTGCAGCCAGTAGTGCGCTTGTTCTCTCTCCATTCAGATGCTGTCTTTGCTAATCACAGCCTCCTTCACCAGAGCCCTCTTTCCTGGATACAGATGTCACTTCGAAGTTTTTATGAGTTGTCCCATCATTTTACAGAATCAGTATTATGGGCATCCAACCTGTACAGGTATCTTCCTGGCCTATTGATTTCCTGGAAGAAATCAATTGACCACTAAAATCTTTTGGGGTACTTAAAAAAATCTTTATTTTTAGTTTGTTTTTGGTCTCATTCTTTTTTGGGGGGGGGGCAGGGTTTCCCTGTAGCCCCAGCTGACCTGGAACTTGCTGGTCTTGAACTCACAGAGATTCACCTGCCTCTGCCTCCCAAGGGCTGGGATTAAGAGCGTGCACCGCCATGCTCAGCTAAAAAATATATATCTTTATTTCATCCCAGATCCATTAAATTCTTGATGGTGTGTCCTGGGCATTGGTCTTATAAAAATACTTCAAGTGGCTTGACTTTTACAGAGTTCCACTACTGGTTGAATGCAGCGAATAAGCAACCGTGAGGTGCCCAGCCCTAAGTGGTACATCTACAGTGCAATCTCTACACCTAAGGTTCAGGGACCATTGCTGAAGAGGAGGAAGAAAGGATGTAAGAGCCAGAGGGACAAGACACCTGCTGCCTGTTAACGCATTCTAGGCATGACAGGGAAGCTGCACCAATGAAATCTCCACAGTGTGGTAGTCTAACAAGATCACATAATGACAAGCCAGTTGTCATACCACAGTGGATGGGGGCAATTTCACAGGGTCTCACTTCAAGATGAAGAGATATAGGCAATCACTGGATTGAGAGGGGGTGAGGGGACATAGGAGGAGATGAAAGGGGACTGATAGGAATGGAAATAATGCAAATACAATACTCACATATGAAATTCTCAAAAACAAAATAAAAAGTATATTTTAAAAAACTCCAAGCGACTCCAGTGTAGAATCTAGGTTTATAATCACTGAGCTCAAACAATTCATATGAGGCAGTAGCCTTGACTAATCAAAGTCTATGCTTCTGGCTTCTTGTTTTGCATATTCTGATTCTATAATTTCCATAATCTCTTTAATGAGCCATGAGGAAGGACATAACTTCCCTTTATTCTTTTTCTAAGAAGTGCTTGAGCTACATAATTCATAATATTCATTTTCTTCAGAAGTGTCTTGTCCTTAAATTACATTGTGAATGATATCAAATACATTTTGTCTTGCAATTAAAAATTAAGCTTCATGCTCATTCAACACTTCAGAGTCTGTGGACTGTAATGAAGTTGACTACACATTAGCTTTTCATCTTAGGTAGCTAATTTAGAAAGACTGTCTCCAGAGGACTCGACTTTTGTTAAATGTTAGGATAATTAGCCGAAGCAAAAGTACCTTGATTTCTTTCACTTTAGTAGAATCTGCTATTTTATTCCATCAGAGATCACCAAGTCTTTTCATGCCTTAACTTTGGCACACCTCTTCAGCACTGCTTTCTTTGACTAGATCCTCACCACCCCTCTTTCTTCTCTAGGGCATTGTATTCCTTTCCTAAGGCTGATGTGACAGTATCAGAATTACTTCCTCATAATTGTGGAGGGTGAGAGTCTGTTATAAAGGTGTCACCACAGTTAGGTACCTCCCAGGCCTCCTTTGCTTGGATATATAGCCTTCACCTTCTATACGCAACTACACTAGTCTCTCTGCTCATGTCCTTGACTTACTCTTTTTCTTTCCTTTTTGTGTTTCTCTTACTTTCTCCCTCCTTTTCCCTCCCCTCTGTCTGGTTCCCTTTTCACACCATTTGTCAGATTCAATTATATAAGTCTATTATTGTTGTTGTTGTTGTTTCAGACAGTGTCTTACTATGTAGCCCAAGCTGGCCTTGAATCTCCAATGCTGGGGAAACAGGTGTACCCCCACCACATCTAGCATTATCTGAGTCTTCATGGTCATTATCTTCACACTTAACCTTTTAGACAGAGATCAAAGAAAACTCTAAGACAGCAGTAACAAATTGTGAATTATCTGATATATTTAAAAATCAAATCAAGGCCTTTTAGATGGCTCAGCAGGTATGGGCACTTGCCACCAAGCCTAACAACCTTTTCAGCTCAGGAACCCACATGACAGAAAGAGAGAACTGACTTCTTTATGTACACACATGCAAATGTAAGTGTAAAAATAAGTAAATAAAATCAATTCTACACAAATCAGAGTCCTCAGAAAGTGGCACAGTCAAGCACCTTTCCTTCAGCGTCAGCCCATTCTCCTCCTGCTGCAGGAAAACTTTCCATTTGATTTCTCTAAGCTTTCAACAACTAGGATGCCAGATATGCTGTGCCAGAAAAGCATTTTGATATGAAACAGATCTTTATGAGTATGTGCTATGGGTCCAGCCTTAGCTAAATCTTCTTAGTTACTTGGCAGCACTTCATCTGCATTGATTTTGGAGGTCAGTGAACTTCCTGAAATTAGATGCAAAATGTTTGTGCTTATGCATACATCTTGGAAGAAGGCCACAGCTTTCAGCAGATTATCAATGGAATCCCTGACCCAAACACATCAAGTAAAGCATGAAGTTTACCAGCATCCCATGCACTGTCCATCGTGCCTATTCCCAGGATCCCACCTTTCCAAGTTTCCTTGGAGACAATTTCACTACTTGCCAGCATGAGCAGCTTGTGTTAATGATTTCCTTACTTACTCTCTTTTGATCTGAACTCACTATGTAGATCAGGCTGGCCTTCAACTCACGGAGGTCTGCCTGCCTCTGCTTCCTGACTGCTGGGATTAAAGGTCTGTGCCACCATGTCTGGAAATTTCCTTACTTTTTCTTACTCAGTGTGTGGGTGTGTTTTATCTTTTACTAATCTAGCCAGTCTCAAAATCTTGTACCACTGCACTGTTTAGTAGTTATAGTAACAACACTTAGAGCGCTCTCCAGAGTGTTCTTTCTGATTCATTTAAACTTTCCCTGGGTTTTGATTTAAATAAATTCTGCCTGTTTTGGATTGCAACATAGAGGCAAGGGGTCATAGGCCAGAGGTCAGAATTTCTTGAATATGCTTTGCTATAGCAAATATTATGCCATCACAAGACATAGTCTTATCATAAAATGAACTATTTATCTCTGAGTTATAGTGCCTACTACAATTCGACGTCATTCAGAGAAATTTGGCTTTGGCTAGTACCACTTGTATGGTGGCAGTAAACAAAAACGGATCTTGGAGCACTGACCTTTAATGTCTGCATGGCCATTATCCTATTATCACAGACTTATTTGCCTTCTTTAACATAAATTGTACTTGGGAACTCTCCAGTGTCACCTTGCAATGTAAATGAATTTATTTCAGACTCTAGTGTTCAGACTCTCATGACTTTCAGAAAATAATTGCCTGCATTCTGGCTAGCATCCCAGGAATACTGGCATTCCATAAAGACACTATTATAAATTATCTTGCTACAACTGTTTCAGGTGCCCCTCCATTAGTCTCTTTATGTACTATTCTCTAGAAATGATCATGACCTATACATCCATAAGCTCTTTCTTGAATCACCAAAGAAGCCAACAGAATTATCCACTGAATGATGTTATTAATTTTCTCCTCAGTAAAGTTAAGGTGTTAAATAGCTGAGTTCATATGCTTCAGATGAATTAGGGAATGCTTATCATGTGCAAAATAATCATCTTGAAGTATAGTGTGTACCTGGCTCACCTGGAGGGCATGTTAAAACAAAGATTATAGGTTCTCATGTCCAGAGTCTTTGATATGGTAGGAATGGATCATGGGCCTAAGAGTTTACATGTCTAACAGATGAT